TGGCTCAACTGCAGGAATGTTCCTGAAACCTGAGGCGGCCGGAGGAGGGTTAGGAGAGGAGCTGGCGAGAGGAGGCGGGCTCTGGCCAAGGAGGAGGCGAGGTGGGAAGTGGAGGAAGCCAAGGCGGCAAGGCTTCAGCGGAGGCAGGCCAAGGAGACCAGGAGGGCACGCGCCGCCATCTTGGACCCCCGTCTTATTATTTTTTATTAGCTTTGTATATTATTGTTTTATTAGTTTTGTATAGAATGACTTGTAAAACCTGGCTTCAAAGGCCTAAATCCCATCTTTAGCCCCAAGTAGACTTGAACTTTTAAAATCAAGGGGAACCCATACCTCTTAGCATTTCACATATGAAAACCAGAACATATGTGTCAAGATAGCAGAAATTTACAAAAAAGAACACTCAAGCTAAGAGAGGCTGTAGAAGTTTGCTTTTCTCTTGGGAAAGGTAAGATTCCACTCCCTTTTTCCTCCCCTCCCCATTCAGTTAATTGAGTGCAAACTGGTATTTTTGCAATTTGGACTCCATTTGCACCAGAGGAACTAAGCTGAGGACAAAACAGGAAAGTGTGGGGAGTGAAGCTGGAACATTTTAAAAGCATCTGAAAGAGAATTATTCAGATTTGTCCCTGCCAAATTGGGACACTTGTGGGATATGGGAACCTGGTAAATTAACAATTACAGAAGTTCAGTTCTTTCAACTGGGAATGTTCACTAGCTGAGGCTAAGAGTTTTTGCTTATGTACAGGTGGCCCTCCATATCCAATAGGCTTTGCATTCACAGATTCAACCAGCCATGGTTCAAGCATATTAGGGGGGAAATTTCAAAAAAGCCATTTCCTAGATACTTTGGCTTTCTCTGGTAATTACTTGACTTCTTTGCCATTTTATAAATGGTTCAGAATGTGCCAGCCACAGATGCAGGAGAAACTTCAGGAGAAAATGCTGTAGAACATAGCCACACAGTCCGGAAACCACACAACACCCAATTGAACCATGTTCTCTATGGTGTTAATACAACACCCAAATTACTGTGAATCCTGCGTACTTTCAAACTTTTTCCTTCTATTCATCTACTATTTTTCTGAGGATGCCTGCCATAGATGCAAGCAAAATGTCAGGAGAGAATACTTCTAGAACATGGCCATACAGCCCAAAAAACCTACAACAACCCAGTGATTCGAGCCATGAAAGCCTTCGACAACACAGTGTCTTATCACATTTACTCTGAAGTATTATGAACAATAGAGTGCACTGTTTGTTAGAATAACAACAAAATGTAACTCTGAAGTCATGAATATTTCTGCCTATTGGAAATAGTGTGTGATTTCAGGGAAATGAAAACGTAAGTTTTGTTTATTGTGTGCATGTCAGAATAAAGGTTATAAAAAGCCAGCACACCCAATTTGTGTGTGGCAGTTTGTTTTCCCAGTACGAGTTGGACTGTCACCACTCTTGGCCAACATCATTCCATCTTCTCCCTTCAGCTCTCTTCACTTACCTTATGACCTTTCCATGGGYCAAACTCCTCATAACAGGGCTGGACTATTTGAGACATTGCACTACCTGGGACAAAGGACAAGATTATATCACCCCCCCCCCCCATCTAAACAAAAGCAAAGTGAACTAGCAGCTAAAACCATTCTTCAACAATAGTCATGCCTACATCTGAGGGTATTTGGCGGTACAGAACAAACTGTATGGAATACACATTTCTGCTTGAATCACATTGTCAGTCCCTACCTTCTACTATCTATTGCCTCATAGGGAAGATCTTGCCCCAAATGTAGCTCATTACAGAAAACAACTTTTTAAGAGATTAGGGATTTTATTCTGGAAAGAAATCAATTCACCAAATGTAAAATAGTAATACCAGCTCCACTGGGGGTGAGTTGGGGTGGGGAGAACAATATTCCAGGAGTGAAGGTGGTAGTTGGCTACATGTGAACAGATAAGTTAACAGTATTATATTTGATATAAAAAGATAACATGGCGTACATATTTGTCATCCTAATGTGCACTGATGCTTGACTGCTAGTCCCACAAGGGTGGTACTTTTCAAGCTCATACATAAGGCTTGTGGCACTGGCTTGAGAACTAGGATGAAGTTGATGGATGTTTGTTTGTTTTTAAAATGGAGACCCAATGGAATGATGTGCCTCTGAACCAGTTTAAAATCACTTTGCATTTAGCAATTATGGTGTGAACAATTGTCAGCACTTCACTAATGAAAACAGATCTTTATTATTCCTAATTATTTGAAAATTATTGTTTTTCTGAAATTTTTGTTGCTTTACCATTCCTGTTGAATTTATGATATTATTAGTCCTGTTAAAAAGACTCTGGGGGGGGGGGGTGGTGCTCATCTCCATTTCTAAGCTGAAGTGCTGACGTTGTACCTATTGATCCACTCACATTTGCATGTTTTTGAACTGCTATGTTGGCAGAAGCTGGGGCTAATAGCGGGGGCTTACGTCGCTCCCCAGATTTGAACCTGCAACCTTTCGGTCAGCAAGTTTAACAGCTCAGTGCTTTAACCCATTGCACCACTAGGGGCTCCGGTTAGGGCAATGAAATTGGAAGTACAAAACTTCAAAGTCTGCCAAATTTACTTTTCAGGACTATAACTATCCAAATCCCTTAGTCAATGCTGCCACTGGCCATTTTGGCATGAGAAATTTGAAAAGTAAACTATTTCAAAGAAGATGTATCCAAACTATTTCACTTTGAATCTAGTTCAGATTCCTAGCCAGTTGTCTGCCCAAGTGACACAGGAGAATTTTCTCCAATTTATTATGGAGACTTGTGTTGCTACATAGGGAATACACCAAATACAATACAAGGAGGCACCTAAACACACACACATAGAATTGCAATGTAAGCTAACAGTTCAAGGACCTTGGGAGAAAATGAAATACAAAATGCAGCGGATAGCCAAAAAAAAAAAAAGATTATTCAAAGTTAACTTGAATTTCCCATTGCTGAAATTCAGCATCCAAAACTGATTCTGGAAATGTGGCTTTTAACATCAATTAAAAGCATAATGCTAGAATTCTAGAAATAGCATTTTGTTTTCAGTAATATCAATAGGTTTGCCATAATGTAAATATTTAAATAAAACATCAGTCAGACATTACTAACACTGTTTTTCAATGATATTTACATTTCTTTAGCTACTGCTATCCACTGTGACAATCCAGAGGAGCTCTTTAAGCATTGTACAAAGCAAAAACAGAACTAAGCAAAGCAATTTAATACATCACCAAAAAAAATCTTAAAACCAAATCTTCTAACTGCCTTTTGGAGTGCAGACAATATCTCTGGCATGTAGGAGGAAAATCTGGCTGGTGGGGTGATGAGGAGTGATAAAACTGAAGTTAAAGTAGCAACATTCTTCTTGCATCTTCCATCCTGCACTCAGTCCAGAATAAATTAGATTAAATAACACATTACATCACAGAAAGAAATCTAGCATGAAGATGTGAAGAGGTTAGTCCATACCAGTCTTTGAAGAAAACTCTGAATTCCCTTTTTCATTGATGGCTTGAGCTTTTTGCATGAAAAAGAGTTCCTTTTATCAGCCACTTTGTAATTGCATGGTCCATTCCAAAGCAATAGGATGGCATTTACATCCAAGAATACTGTCCAGAAATTGTGACCAATAATGATTAGAACGTCATTATTTTACAAAAAGAACCAAACTTGTATTGCAGCATCTCACTAATACAACATGTCTCCTACCATGTTAAGGCAAGATATAATCAGAAGACATGCTATCATGCAAAACCACTGTGTAAGCTAAGTCTATGACCATCTGCTCAGACATATTCAATGGCAAAGAATTAGTTGAACATTCTTCCATCCTCAAAGTGAGACACACATGGCTTGGAGGCAGTGATCAATGGCTATGTAATGTTTACATGTTATCTCTTGAATATCAGATACTTGCTCTAGGCATTGGAAGAAACACTTTGGTGGGCATTTCCATTCTGGGTTTCATTTGTTTTGTAACTGGCAACTGTGTCATTTTCAAAATCCTCTTGTGATTTCAAATCTGCCTTTTCCACAGAGGTGCTAGATCCAAGGGGTTTACAGATGGAGCAAAAGAACTTGAAGCATAGCACCAATCCTTCTGAAATATTGGAGGAGAAAAGCTTTTTACATGGGTGGCAAAACTGGTAAAACACAAGCATAAAAAGGACAGCTATGCAATAGCCAATGAGCAGCTGCAGGAACAGCATTGGGGCACATACATAAGTGTAGACATCTGTCTTGTACATATACCACATCAACAAGAGAAAAGCATTCTCAAGGAACCTCAGCAGGTAATACAAAGCCAGCCTACACCAGTTCTGGGTTTTGTCAATTAAATCAGCATCACTTAGTTTCAGATGAACAGCTGACCAGCAAAACATATTGATACCAGCATACAGGAAAGTGAGAAGACATAAGACAATCGTGGTGCCCACTTTGCTCAAAGCCTTCTCTATATTTTCTGGCAAAGTACACTTACTTTGCCAGAAGAGAATCCATGGGTGAAAGAAAAAGACAAAGAAGTTCACAAGCACCACAGGGAGGGTCCAGATCTGAAGGACCGAACTGAAGAGGACAAGGACTATCACCCTAGTGGCAATCTCAAAGCTCCTCCAGAGGAAGATGCAAAGATAGGCCATCGGCTTGATGTTGACATCGTAGTCATCATACTTGATTTTAATGGCCAGAATGTTGCACCGCAGGGCTCCGTAGACAATTGATAGGAGAGAAAGGGTCATGAAGATGCCTGAGGGAAAAAAATACAAGCAGAACTTTCTGAAAGCAGTACGGTTAGGATAACAGTAAGTTCCAGGGAGGTATGTTACTAGGATATAAAGATCTCCTTCAGTAGCACTAAAATCACATGGTTTGTGCTACTTAAGTAACCTTCAGAAACATTTTCCAAGTCCCAATTTTACAAAATTTTCCATATGCAAATTTTGAGAAAGGATTTCCAGGACACAGATGCATACATAGTCACTACCTTATACTAAAGTGAGAGGGGGGSAAGGCTTTTGGAGGCAAGGGAAGTGGAGGGAAAGGAGTTGGGGGGTGAGAGAGGCTGGGGGAGCGGGGGAGCAGAAAAGAGGAGAGAAAGCTTGGCAGCGAGGAGGAGGGAAGCTCCTCAGTATACTTCGTGGAGCCCCAAGAGCTCCACAGRGCACACTTTAGTAACTGCTACTTTAAAGAAACCAGACTATTATGTTGAACCACTATAAGGATGGTAGTGGGTGCTTGAGGAGGCTCCTTTCACTCTGTTTACCCATTCTGCAAGCTGCTCACATAAGGTATAAACAGGCACATTTGATTCATAGGATGATCCTTCAATTAGAGTCACTATTAGACCAGGAAAAGGGATGAAGCATCTTTGCTAGCCCCAGACACTCAGTCTTCCCTGTAGGAAGTATAACAAAAATACAAGTATAACTAAATTAGATGCTTACAATTGAAAATGGGGAGAGCATAAAAGGGATGCTCACCCCCTTTCTTTCTTGGCCATTAGAAAGAGTTAACCAGGTTCTTTCTACCTTTTTATCCCAGTTGCACTCTTTATCTGCAATGTGAAGCTACCTTGCATTAAAAAAAGGATTGCTATGGAAAAAATTTAACAACTGCCTGTCTCAGCATATTCCAAGCCTCCGAGGCCTGCAGCCCGCCAAATTCTTGGCAGAGGCTTTGCAAGTTCAAAAACTATCCGGAAGACAGCTGTGTGAAATAACATAAACACCTCTTCAGACATAAGAGTCGCCTGCACTTAAAAACACCAAAAGCAAGGAAGATTCATCAGTTCTCTGTCATTATTTATGGTACAAATTTTGCTTTCTTTACTGGGATTAGCTATGACAAGTATGCCCTTTTCCTGTACAAGGAATAAAACAAAATATAAGATCTTATTTTATGCCAAGGAATAAGAACTGATGTTTATACATTATTCGGGTTAATTATCTAACCATCTTTTGCAGGTACAGAGTTTAAATTATGACCTAAATACATGAAATCAGCCAGATATTGGAAGCTGAACACAAATTCATAAACACTTACTGTAAATTCTAAATGCTATGTTTCAGTTACCCTGTTGCAATCAGTGAAATTACACCTCTACATTGATTCTATCCATTTATACTTGCTGCTTGTTTTCCTGTCATATGAATCCTTCACTTTCTACAGTGGAAAAAAGAAACTTGTGCAGAAAATTACAGAAAATAATGAACATTTTGAGATTTATGCAGCATATTAATGTCACCATTCAGCTCTTAGTTGGTGTTGTTGAGGTTGGTACCTGCCATGGCCATGACCTTAGTATTTCTGCTCTATAATATACTTTGTTTTGAAAGCAACAACATGGTAAATGCCCAGGTATGAAATGAAGACTGAAAATGCTGTGAAGATATACCTCCACTCATTAGACCAGGAATGAGCAAAGTATGTTAAAAAAGAACTTCACCCCAATGGGTCGATAATACTACAAAATGTTAGTAGTTTGGGTTGTTGTAGGTTTTTATGGGCTGTATGGCTATCTTCTAACAGCATTCTCTCCTGACATTTCATCTGTATCTATGGCATCTCACAACCTCTGAGGATGCCTGCCACACATGCAGGCAAAACGTCAGGAGAGAATGCTTCTAGAACATGGCCATACAGCCCAAAAAACCTACAACAACCCAGTGATTCCGGCCATGAAAGCTTTCAAAAATACATTGTTAGTAGTTTTTCCCCCACAACCACAAACCTCCCCAATTACCTCCCCAATTAGCTGAAAAAGATGATTGTGTCAGATGGCCTTATGTGATTCATCAAGACACCGACAAGTGTGAAAAGTGGACCTTCCCTTAGTTACCCATCCCTGGAATAGACAGTGTAGCTGTTCCCATATAGCTATGGAACTACGCAAACAACTAGTTGACTGTCAACCTGCTATCCACCCAATAAGACCTTACATTGGCCAAGAACTTTAATGTCTGACATTGGGATAAAGGATATAAACAAAATAGACAGACATAGGTAAATGGCTTCTCTTTCCCCGTCCAGAACCAGAGTCATTGAGTCCTGTTTACTCTATTTGTTTGAAACTTGTAGTTGCCTGGACTTGTGGATACTAATTTTCCTACTTTTGGCTTGTATGCCTGTGAGTCCCTAATTAGTTTCTGACATCACTCCTCAAGAAGACAAAAATACTTCTTCCATTCAGGTGCACAAACTATACTTTCAGTGATAAGAGTTTCTACTTTCCTTTTAGATCTCTTTGTTGTCTCATTTGTCCAGAGAGATCCATCCTAAGTACCAGCCATGACAGCAAAGCAGCTAGAGCAGTGAGACCATTCTAGTTCTTTCTCTATATGAGTTTTTACCTCTTGATTTCAAGTAGTAATGCCAAGAGTGAAGAAAGCTGCTGTCAAAGCAAAAGCTGTGTAAAGTTCTTGTATTTGTACTTTTTAAAAAGGATCCCCATTCAAATTCAATTTTTAGGTTTGGGGGTCAGGATCGCTAGTAAAGACAGTCGCCACACCATCCCCATCCCAAAATCTTTTCTTGTCCCTTTGAATGTGCATTATAGCACTGTGCATCCCACCTTCAAATTTGTGAAATTGTGAAAACACATTATGATCAGAGCATTTTAAAATTATTTGTAACCAATACAGCACTGAGGTATTTTGAGAGTCATTGATACTTTGTTGTAGTTATGTACCTTGAAGTTGACTATACCTGGAACTACCCTACTATATCATGAAGTCTGGAACTAACTTTTCCAACCTTCATTTTTCTGTCTTCCTCTAGTATATTCATCCATGTATTGCGTGGTGGTATAATTAGTTACCAAACTATTTTCTCTTTTGTAATGTATGTGTTACAAAATGTATAAAACAAAGTCTGCAATTTTGGAATTTGAGCTGAAGCTAACTACTGCATTTCAGAAGAGGCATTCTCCCTTTTTTCCTGGAAAACAGTGCTTCAATCCACATGATCAAGGTTGCCATAAGTCTTGTGTGTGTGATTTGGTCATGCAGTGACCAAATTTTATTGTTTTCTCTATTTTCTTTAGCATGAATTTCAGTGAGGGAATAATGCTTTTGTTTTGTTTTGTTGTATTTCTTTGTTTACATTACTCTGCAAATAATTGGTTGCTTTTGTAAAATAACTATGACTGAGGTTGTATTTTTAAATAATTAGAAATACTGATTCTGTTATTCAAACTGTTTTAGGTATTTGAAGCCAATACTAGATTTTTCCAATCCACTCATTTTACAAATAATGTGTCAGATTTATTTATTTTTTTGTAAATTTCCCACATGTATTTTATGTGGCTTACATTTCTACTCAAATGCATCAAAAAAAGTTACAAAGGTTCCTGAGATGTAAGTGAGAAAAGGTAGATTGCATTTTCTTGGCCAGCTACCAGCTGGTAGGTTCTCTTTCAAGGCTTTAATACAGTTCCAACATGCTGGGCAATCAGATAAAGCAATTTAATAAAATGTAGGCGAGGAAACCTTTCAACCTGGGAGATATATCCGGGAATGAAAATAGCTGGGTAAGCTCAAAAAACACAAAAACTATTTAAATAAACATGAAATTTTAATTGACATAATTAGCTATGGCAACATAAGGGTAAAATAGAATAATGAAATGAAATGCTTTAATTTACAGGCAGTCCCCAAGTTACAAACATCCGACTTACATATGATTGAATGTCAAGAATGGGGCGAAACAACAGGAAGTGAGAGAAATCTACCCCTTGGGAGGGAAGTTCACTCCTGAAAGAGTTATCATGGGGAAAAGGTGTCCCCACTGAAGCTTTATAATCAATCCTTGTTTCCACAGCAAGCCAAGTTTTTCAAAATCCAATTATCACAGGGACAGAAAGTGAGGTGAAATCTTCTGAACAGGGACATCATACATACTTGGCTGGAGTTACACTAAAATAAATATACCTGTTCTGAATTACATACAAATTCAATTTAAGAACAAACTTACAAAACCTATCTTGTTTGTAACTTGGGGACTGCCTGTATTGAGAATGTTTATACACTATCTGTCATCATATCTGGATAAAAGGATAATTTGCTAGAATTTACACTTTGGTATGAATAACAACACTAACAAAGGAAAAACATAAACAAATAAAGAAATACATAAACAGATAACTTGAAATAAATGGATGTCACTTGAAAGAGGATTGAAAGATGCTAACACTTGAAAGATGCTAACACTAGAGACACTTTTTTGCAGCAGCAGCAGAGTAGTATTCCTCTGATAAAGAATATGCCTAGAGCAGGCATGGGCAAACATTCTAACTTGGGGGCCATATGGTGAGCTGGAGTGGGTGGGCGGGCTGGGAGGGAGGGGTTTTCCCTAACCCCCCCCCCCCCACTGCCACCCTTTCCTCCCCTTCCTCTTCTCTTTTAGAGGTGGAAATTGAAGGAAAGACAGGAAATGTTTGGATCCCTTTGCTTGCCATTTGAAACCATTTGAAACCATTGCTCCCTTGTGCCCTGGTCTCTAGAGCAGCAGAAAGTCATCCCCCCCCCTCCTCCACAATGAGACACTCCTTGAAATCTTGAAACATGTTTCTCATATTCGCTCTTTACCTTCTCTTCTCCTAACTAAACATCCCCCAGGAGGAAAGAAAAAGAGGATAGGAGGAAAGAGAGAAAGAAGGAAGGAAGGAAGGAGGAAAGGGTGGAAGCAAGGAGGAAAGGGTGGAAGGAAGGATGGAAGGAGAAAGAGGGAAGGGAGGGAGGAAAGAGAGAAGGAAGGAAGAATAGGATGGTGAGAGAGAGGGCCTGAGAAATGAACCCAAGGGGCACCCGGGCCTGGGACTGGGCTTGCCCATACCTGGCCTAGAGAAACTGTCTTAATGGAAATTTTAATGTATAGGTAAATTGGGAGCAAATGATATTTTGTGTCTCCAGATGGCCAGAGTTTCAAAGGAAAGAACCAATTAAGCTCTTTTGGGACTGATATCATATACTTCATCTTTCTCCAACTTGGTGCCTGTCATATGTTTTGAATTTCAGTTCCCATCATTCTTCAACACTGGCCAAGTTAGCTGCAGCTGATGGGAGTTGCAGCACAAAATAGTTAGAGATCACCAGTTGGGAAAGCTTGATATACCAATCAAAAGTGGAGTGGGTATATTCTATATTGAGTGAGGTTTCGAAGACATTTTTCAAGTTACTCCTCTATCTATCTATCTATCTATCTATCTATCTATCTATCTATCTATCCATCCATCCATCCATCCATCCATCCATCCATCCATAAGGTTATCAGAGCATAGCTCACAATGTGGCTGGACTACTCTCTCTGGAAGTAGCCATAGTTGATGGACCAGTCACAGATAATAAAACTACTTAGCCTTAGCTTGACTACAACATGTGCCTTCGGACCATGTCTTGAGACCAGAACAATTGCTCCAATAGCCACAGACGTTTAGATATGATGGAAGCTCTTTCCTTGGAGGGTTTTAAACAGAGGTTGGATGGCCATCTGTCAGGGATACTTTGTGCTTTTCCTGTATGGAAGGGTTGAACTTGATGGCCCATGTGGTCTCTTCCAACTCTATGATTCTATGATATAAAATAATCAGAAGAATTATTATAAGGACCTATTGTAGAAAAGGATAACCCCAACAATATTGTTTTCTGTGTGTGCTGGATAATGCTTAAAATGTGGCCCAGTTAAAAAATGAAGTCAACATTAATCATGCATACAGTAATCCTTTCTGGTGGACTGAGTGATAACCATTTCCCAGTATTTGATTTCTTTATAATCTCATATGATAATTTACCAATGATGTAACCCAACTCTTAAAATTACTCACCCCAAACAGAAATAGTCAACAATGTAATCAATTATACATACATCTAGCTGGAGTGATTTCTTGCTGGAGGACACATATGTACAGCTGAAGCGTCAACTGAGGGGCAGAGCCAAGGAAAGCTTGGATCACCGATGCCCGACTAAATGCAGACCTGTGTGTAAACAGCTTGCCCTCGGCCTGGCCCACTTCCTTTTCAACTTCATCAGAGTGTCCATCTTTTGGCATCTGCCTCTTCTTGGTGATGCTGACATAAGGCTCTTCCACTCTTCCTGCTTGGAAGTAAATACAGAAGACTTCCACGCATCTGTTGGAAAACAAACAACAAAAGTCATATCACTGTTTTTAAAATGCAGTCACTCTGTTATCCCTCTTCAGACAGAAATCAATCTCTCCAAATATAAATAAGCATTGCTCTGGCTGTAGATATATGGGGTTTCTAAAGCACACCACTCAAGACATTTTCTTGATGAAGCAAACAACAAAGCGGTATTCTTCTCTCTGCATCCCCCACCATATCTGAGGACATCAGGCTAGTTTAGGGAACAAGGTACAAAAAGCTATGTGGCACACAGCACTCTCTTCTTCCACTTTATTGTTGCCTCTTGGCATCTGCCAGTTGTGGTTATTACCTTACCAAGAAGTAGAACTGGCCTTGCTTTTGTCCATGATGAAATAATCTCAGCCTTTCTAGAAAGGGAATTTAACAACAACACCAAGTATAATACAATTAATGGCAAATTTACAGCTGGCTTTCCCCATTGTAGCTATATGTGCCATCTGAAATTGGATTTTTCCTTTGCCAGAAAGTCCTAGCAACTACCATCTGAGTGACCAGTTAATACAGGATCAATAACATCCCAAATTAGGACTCTGGGGATTCATCAGGTCAGAATCATGGCAGGATAGTTATAATGCCAAAGCATAAAATCACTCTAAATGTGGTCATTGTTGTGTGCCTTCAAGTAATTTCTGATCTATGGTAACTTCAAGGTGACCCTATCACAGGGTTTTCTTGACAAGATATATTCAGATTTGTCACTGCCTTCCTTTAAGGCTGAGAAAGTGTGACTTCCCCAAAGTCATCCAGTGGGTTTAATGGACAAGCAAGGATTCAAACCCTGGTCACCAGTCATAGTCTAATGCAGTGGTTCTCAACCTGTGGGTCCCCAGATGTTTTGGCCTTCAACTCCCAGAAATCCTAACAGCAGGTAAACTGGCTGGGATTTCTGAGAGTTGTAGGCCAAAACACCTGGGGACTCACAGGTTGAGAACCACCGGTCTAATGCTCAATACACTACATATTGCTTCCCTAAATGTGGTTACTCCCTGGCAATCTACATTACTACATCAATTCTATAGTATAGAAGTACTCCCGTTGCCTACTCCCACCAGTTCTGCCCGTAAATACGATAGTACTAAGATAAGAGCTTTGCCTGAGGATCCCAGAGTATGGGTAGACTCATGTAAGGAGATAACAATCCCCAATGCTAGACATATTTGCAGGATCTAAGTTGACCTTAGAAAAGTCATTATTTGGATGTCAAATCCCAGCCTCATTCTGGATGAGGGACTCTGTAACCTGTACTCAATGAAAGCAACTTTCCAAACAATGGTAGTCATTTAGGCTACATTGCAGAGTAGTCTGTGCACATTCAGAAGACCTACAAGCCACTCTAAACACCTATGCTGAAGCATACAAGAAGCTTGGCCTCTAATTGAACGCTGACAGAACCAAAGTGCTCTTCCAGCAGGCACCAGCCAATCTCTCTCCAATGCCAGAAATACAGCTTAATGGTGCAACATTAGAAAATATCGACCATTTCCACTACCTTGGCAGCCACCTCTCCACCAAAGTCAACATTGACACCGAAATACAACACTGTCTGAGCTCAGCAAGTGCAGCATTTTTCTGAATGAAGCAGAGAGTATTTGAGGATCGGGACATCCATAGGGAGACCAAGCTGCTTGTTTATAAAGTTATTGTTCTCCCAACGCTGCTATATGCCTGTGAGACGTTACACTCAACTCCTGGGACGATTCCATCAGCGTTGCCTCTGAAAAACCCTGTAAATCTATTGGGAAGACAAGCGGACAAATGTCAACATGCTGGAAGAAGCAAAGACCACCAACACTGAAGTGATGCTCCTATGCCATCAACTCTGCTGGACCAGTCACATTGTCCAAATGCCCGATCACCGTCTCCCAAAGCAGTTACTCTACTCCCAACCCAAGAACTGAAAACAGAATGTTGGGGGACAGGAAAGAGATTTAAAGATGGGCTCAAAGCCAACCTTAAAAACTGTGGCATAGACAAAGAGAACTGGGAAGTCCTGGTCCTTGAGTGCTCTAACTGGAGGTCAGCTGTGACCAGCAGTGCTATGGAATTTGAAGAGGCACGAATGGAGGGCAAAAGGGAGAAATGTGCCAAGAGAAAGGCACGTCAAGCCAGCCCTGACCGGGACCACCTTCCACCTGGAAACCAATCCACTCACGGTGGGAGAACATGCGGGTCAAGAACAGGGCTCCGCAGTCACCTTTGTGCTCTCTGCCAGGACACTGCACTTGGAGGACAACCTTACTCGGATAACAAGGGATCGCCTAAGTAAGTAAGTCATTTAGAAGTACAGGATTGGACTCTGGGCTCCAGTTCTAGAGTTAAAATACATTTGTGTGCATGAATATGTATTTAAGAGTAAGAATATTTTCAAAGTACTCAAAGAATTACTGCATTCTTAAAGAGACCTTCATGCATGATGTGCCACAGGAATCCCAGATGGTGCCCAGAAATCTTCAGCTATTTTGTCTAGCAGAGCCAGAAGTCTTTTCAAATTCCCCTTCTGCTCGACTTGCCACAAATACTAGATTTAGGCCACAGAGATCAGGGTCACTGTCCTAGTTACTGAGTGAGCACCTGATTTTGTTTTAGAAAGACAAATTAACCAAAAGAGTGGGGTAGGAGGAGAATTGCAGTCCTTGTAGAATACTGTTATAAGGTGTCATTATCATCATCAAAAGAACTTGTTACCTGATGTTCAGGTCATTAAATCTCCAAAAGTAACACAAACAAGTCTGGGTTGCTGTGAGTTTTTCGAGCTGTATGGCCATGCAGCCTGAAAAACTCACAGCAACCCAGTGATTTCGGTCATAAAAGCCTTCCACAATACAAACAAGTCTCTTATTGATGTAGAAGGGTATGTAAAAAAAGACGAGCATAGAAAATGCATTTTGTTTCTTTCTATTAAAAACAGATTTGGATCAAGAATGTAATAAATATGTTGAAAGTAAGGACTATAAGAGGGACTTACAACAAAATATTGCAGCATGGAGTACTCTTATCCAAGGTTTTGGTAGACCTGCCCTTCTCCAGGATATTCCTGCTAAATTTTCAGCCCCACATATTCTGTACCCATCAAGTGGGTTCAATATCCCTCATTAGGCTCCTTAGTATTCTCACTCACACTTGTTTTTTTCTTTACAGATTTTTATACTGGTGCAATCCTTGGGCAGAATTCCAATTGCTATAATCCCTGCTAGAGAGCCTGAATATAATGGTTTGAGTGCTGAACTTTATTTTTATTTATCGTGTCATCCGCAACCAGAACATTGTATTACATTTCTAACAGAACAAAACAAACAAACAGATTTAAAAAAAACAAAAAACCCCACAAATTTTGCAAATTTGGTAGCTGATTAAATGTCCTTTGACCAGTATCTGGCTACTTGGAGTGCCTCTGGTGTTGCCGCAAGAAGGTCCTCCATTGTGCATGTGGCAGGGCTCAGGTTGCATTGCTGCAGGTGGTCTGTGGTTTGCTCTTCTCCACACTCGCATGTCGTGGATTCAACTTATTCCTGCTTCTTGGCAGGGGGTTGGACTGGATGGTCCATGAGGTCTCTTCCAACTCTTCGATTCTATGATTCTATGAACTTTGTAGCCCCATTTCTTAAGATTGGCTCTGCATCTCATGGTGCCAGAGCGCAGTCTGTTCAGCGCCTTCCAAGTCGCCCAGTCTTCTGTGTGCCCAGGGGGGAGTCTCTCATCTGGTATCACCCACGGATTGAGGTGCTGGGTTTGAGCCTGCCACTTTTGAACTCTCACTTGCTGAGGTGTTCCAGCGAGTGTCTCTGTAGATCTAAGAAAACTATTTCTTGATTTAAGTCGTTGACGTGCTGGCTGATACCCAAACAAGGGATGAGCTGGAGATGTCTCTGCCTTGGTCCTTTCACTATTGGCTGCAACTTCCCGGTGGATGTCAGGTGGTGCAATACCGGCTAAGCAGTGTAATTTCTCCAGTGGTGTAGGGCGCAGACACCCCGTGATAATGCGGCATGTCTCATTAAGAGCCACATCCACTGTTTTAGTGTGGTGAGATGTGTTCCACACTGGGCATGCATACTCAGCAGCAGAGTAGCATAGCGCAAGGGCAGATGTCTTCACTTTATCTGGTTGTGATCCCCAGGTTGTGCCAGTCAGCTTTCGTATGATATTGTTTCTAGCACCCACTTTTTGCTTGATGTTCAGGCAGTGCTTCTTGTAGGTCAGAGCACGGTCCAGAGTGACTCCCAGGTATTTGGGTGCGCTGCAATGCTCCAGTGGGATTCCTTCCCATGTAATCCTCAGAGCTCGGGATGCTTGTCTGTTCTTAAGGTGAAAGGCACATGTCTGTGTTTTAGATGGATTAGGGATCAGTTGGTTTTCCCTGTAATAGGCAGTAAGAGCACCTAGAGCTTCGGAGAGCTTCTGTTCAACCATCTCAAAGCTCCCTGCTTGAGCGGTAAAGTGCTGAACTATGAATATGGAGATAAGCGTTTGAATCCCTGCTCATTGGTTGTCCTTGGGAAAGTCATACTTTCTCAGCCTCAAAGCAGGAAAAGGCAAACCTCCTCTAAACAAATACTGCCAAAAAAGAAAATAGCATGATAAATTCATTTTGTGGCCTAGGAAATTACTTCAAGATACACAGTAGTTCTAATCCCAAATAGAGATGAGCCATTAAACTAACTGCTGAATGGTAAACCAAAACATATGTAAATCTAATTGTTTTTACAGGTCTAACCATTTGATTTTGGCTTTGCAATCCTTCAGATCTGCAGATATAAATTCCTTTTCTACATAGATGTTGTTTTGATGGCACAAACATCCAGACCTCAAACATCACTGTTAGGATATAAAATGGAACAGAAAAGGACTAAAGCATAGGAATAAATATTGTTGGGTACACATCATTTGCAATTTATGTTGATCCTAGGGCAGTGTTCTCAACCTGTGGGTCCCCAGATGTTTTTGGCCTTCAACTCCCAGAAATC